AGTGGGATAGTTGTCATTTTCGCAGTCGCTGTAAACGAAGATAAGTGTTGAGTTATGCTTTGTGTTCTGTGTGGTTTAGTCCATAGATCACAATGTACATGACCCATTTCTTATAAATAGACTGACATTTTTAAAGTCGTGATCAGCTGTTTACAACATAGACCTTCAAGGGAAACACTACCCTAGTAGGGTTATCAAGGAACATTCCGGAGCTATCTTCAGGCCATCCACTCATTTGCAACTATTTTTCATTATTTTGTTATTATCTGAGAGCATTAGTTTCGATTAGAATATGGTCGTCTGAGTTGGTAGAATAGCGAAACCAATAGGAGTCTAAGATGCTGTAAGCATGGGAAAACAACCTCAATACTGTTCAAAATTTTTCTCAACTCCAACTATGGAGAGCTCGAGTCAAACAAAACGTTTTGCCTCAGAAACGTTGGTGAACTGAAATCATTGCCTCCACTATCAATGTTCCCTCCTCTTTTTGTGTTAGGCTCTCTTCCAGTGATGGTTCAATAGATATCATGTCGAACTTCAGGGTTTATATTCCAGTCGTTTAGAGAACGTCACGTCTACAATTATCAGTTCACAAGAATACTAAACGGTCAAGGCTTATAGCAGAAGAATATAGTATGAGTTTCCGGGCAAAATATAAGCTATTGGGAAAGATTAGAGGAAGATAGGTACTTAAATCAGTACAGTAGTTAAATAAATTCAATAAGTTTTCGGGCTTTAAAGACTTAACATAAAACTTTTCAGGTACATGAAAGGCTTTCTGAAAATCATGCTTCCAAATTTCAACTGGTACGCAGTTTTTTGAGTCCTAAATTTCTGAGATGTAAGCTTATCTGTCAGCTAAATGCATCAAAATACACGTAGTCAGACATTTGTATACTACGATTAAGAGACAGTGTGTTGCATCGATCTTAAAGCTTATCAAGATCTACCTGAAATTTACTGGGTGAAGGTTTAACTGTTGAGAACAACCTATTATTACGAACTTTTAAACCTTTCAGTCTTAAAATCTTTTGTGTCTCGAAAGCATTAGATGCTAGTAAATACTGTCTGTTTATCAAAATGAGCACAAAAAGCTTGGTAAACAAAACATGTTTCGTAACTCTGACTTAGTTTGGAGTTTGACAACGATGTGTAGCGTGGCGTCGAGTCGCGGTTGACTATGAACACCGCTATCAAGAAACACGTGCCAGATAAATCAGAAGGCGAAAATCGAACGTAACCAGATTTATTTCGTTGTCGATCTCGTGGTATTGAACGAATACCGAGGTCGTGCCAAGGAATGGTACAAGTGGAAGCAGAAGACAGGAGTACGTGCGAACAGTACCAAAAACCGCGGAACAATGATGGAAGGTAATGGAAGCACAAAATGGCTATAATTAGCACAGTTAAACAAAAGCACATTAAAACTAACACTGGTACAGTTGGTTATAATAATAATTGTTTCTATTAAACCAGTCGTGTTCTCGTGGTAAATGGTGAGTCACTACAGATGTAACCGTAATATTGAAAAGTGTGATTTTCAGTTCTGAGCACGGCGATTGATTTGAGACAGATATGAGGATCACGATAAAGAATATTTAGTGAATTATTAATTTTACTTGAAGGAAAACACTTTTCCAAAGTCTAAGTTATAGAATTTCGATGTACATCAGTCAGTTTGTGAGAAGTTTCTTGAGGAATCTGAAGATAGTTCATGACTAACCGCATTTATGATCATATTTGTATAATAATTTAATCGGCCACTAACGTTTGGCAGCTACCTCAAACTCCACTGTTTGTTGGCAGATATAGCAACATTTCACAATCCCTAACATCCCTCTGGGAAGATTATCATCGACAAGATATCGTGTGTTTTCCACGCACACATCTATATTCTAAATCAGATTTGCTTATTTGAGACAAATTCAACATAGATGGGAAGTTTCTACGAATCAATATTTCTTTTTAACTAGGGTATAGCCTTATAACTTTATTTTTATTAAATATGTCGTAAACTCTCCACCTTTACTTTTTAGATTTCAGTGTAGGATAACTACAATTTTCAGATCCCAGGAAGTCATGTAATTGGGAGCAATATGTAAGGAGTTTTTGATGCTATGGTAGACAAATACGTATTGAGTTAGTTGAGTCATTGAATATCGAACAGATCATCGATCCTCGTCAAGGTCAAGAGCAACTAATGCGCATCAAGTAATCGTACGACATGGACTGGCCCATGCGGCAGTGGTCTTACCTTCACTTGTATCTAACTTAACTAATATATTTCTTTAATAACGTCCTCTGTGTTGTACAGTCTTCGAAGCATCTATAGTACCTTGATACGTCAATGGGGGAATCCACGTAAGGTTCTGACCACGAGGTGTGACTTCGGTGTTAGCTGGTTCATCACACCATTCCCGTCTAACTCGAGTAGGCCTCCGGCCATTCGACATAGATCATCTATGTTAGCGATCTAGACTAACTATTGCCCCAGGTTTATTAACAGAAGCACCAGCGTAAGGACTCAAAGTTCCAGTAAGCGATTTCGTATACTTTTACAGACCAACATTTAACTCGGTGATCTCTAATATTACAGTTAAGCCACTCAGTCCCAATGTTGCTGCGAAAGAAGCTCCATTTTAGTCACAGCCTTCTCAGAAAGTATGCTGTTTGTCTTTAAAAATGATACACATATTGTGGAAAATAATACATAATATCTGCAGGTTCAAATTTTTGTAGTCATCAGAAATCTTAAGTAATTTTACACTGTATAAAGCCACAAAAATTGATCAATACGCTCCAATAAATAAACGGTACTGCTGACCGTACTGAAGGTGCTTATCTCAGGCTGCCAGTATGTGCAGCTACGCTATCTTGTCCTTAGAGTCCAACATAACGACAAAAAGATCAAAAGTACATTCCAAGAAGAACTAAGGGAATAATTGGTCAACCCAAGAGATTAGAAAAAATTGATAGACCTTTCCAAATAATAGTTTTACTACTCTTCAGCTATCCTTCGTTTGCTTAGTTTTACCAAGCAACATGATTGGCATGTTAAGTAGAAAAAGCCACAGCTATTTCTAAACGAATGTGGACTTGGCCTAAGCCCATCAATTTTTAGGGAGGATGAATAGACTAAATGCAGTCTTATAACGAGATAAAGCAACCAGCCCCGATGATTTAACCCTAGTGATGTTTAAGGTTAATGGTCCAGTTTTCGCTGTTCACTTGACCGAGGTATTGGCCAGATTGTATGAACCGGATGTAATTCCATCTGACTTGTCTCTATTGCTAACCGTTTCAGAATATAGGAAAGGATAGCAACCTTCCTGTGATAACCACAGAGAGATCATTCTGGCGAATGTGGTGTCTAAAATACCACACTCAATAATCATCCAATCCATAACATAAGCTCCTGAAGAGTGAACTTGCAGACCCAGGTTCTTCTCAGACCTGGACGTGAGTAAGTAAGCTAAACTTATGCAGTTCTTCAACTTCCGAGGCATAAATGTACCTATCAACTCTCAACTATAGCTATGTTTCTCAACCTTAATATAGCATTCGACTCCATAGATTTACAGCTTTTATGGCAATGTCCGTGACTGTAAGGGTTACCAAATAAGTACATTGACCTTGTACAGGCTTTCCACTCGAAAATCACTAGTCGAGCTAGAGCTTATGGCGAAATCTCATAGGGATCAGTCTTCATCAAAGCTGTATGCTCTCTTCATTTCTCCTTTATTTTATAATAGACATTATTTTAGAGATTATGCTCACATCGTCTGACTTCTCATGAACTGATCAACCAAGAGGTTCGGTTGTTGACGTAGAAAATGCATATAAGCAGTTTTCTGATTACTTTGATCGATAGTGCAAGGATTTCTTGAATATGTTTCTTTATCTCCAATAGAAATTTTGCTTTAAGACCGGGCTTAATCAAGCCTGAACTCAGTATAGGGAGCGAGGTAGCTGAGTGTATTTATGACCTCACTTATACTTAAAGTTCCATCAGCCCTGCAAAGTTGGTGTCAGACAAAACCCCGACACCGGTTCATAAAGGTCGGTTACCTTTTCGCGCCAATAGGTAATAATTGAATTAGGTTTGGCTAGGAATGATTTGTACTCTAGTATCAAAACCAAGGAGAACACAGTGACGGCTGGAATTATCGTATTTGCAAGTCAAATCAACCGCGAAATCATCTACATAGGTATTATTACTATATACAAACGTCTCACTTTCGTCAACCTACGAGATATCTGTTTTATCAACTCAATGATGGGCTTACTGCGCAGCGATTCACTCTTCCCTAATTTACAGGCTCAAAACACAACCTTTAAAAATAGAGGATATTCGTAGGTTACTAGTATTGGATCATTGGTTTCTTCGATGTATTGCTCGTATATTTAGCAACTTAGTAATTCTGAGGTTAGATGCAGAGTATGGGGAACTAGTTGACAAGGTAGTGAATATTTATCAACTGTGATGGTTGGGACTTGTTATACTAGTGCTAATCCACCGACTACCACAACGGGCGATACTGTCTAGTGTAGGAGTAAGATAGGATAAAGCTAGGGACGGGAAAACTGGAAAATAGCATCAATCCGTAGAGTTGCCGACTGCTAGACTGAGGCATGTAGTAGGTGTATACTACCTGGATGGTGTCCAAGCGATTATGTCGATCAGTGGTTAAGGCCTTTCAATGAAATGACTAAGAATCGTTCGCAATGGAGCAGAATTGTTCACTCTTTATCTTCTCTAAGATCCAAAGTTTTCAAATTCTCCAAAACTTTCCATTATTATGTCACCAATTTATATTTTCTTCTCTAACTATATTTTGGATGTCGAATCTTTTCTGTTAGCACTAATATGTTACTACCTCTGCTACATTGGAATTTACTCCAACAATTTCGTCTCATTGTGCTAACGAGGTATATCAACTTCAATTAATAGTATCATCAGTCCAAAAAGAAGTTACAAAATATTTTCAGTGAAAACACAAATGGTACGCAGGACAAAATTTAAGAATAGTAAGTGAAATTAAACTTTACATGTAGCAGTTATCAGAGATCTTTCAGGTAAAGTTAAACTGTGATTTCCATATTAACAAAAATAAAATTACTAATGTCACCATAGAGATCGACTTCTTTACACTCTTGTTGACAAGTGAATTTAACTCATAATTATACTCAAAGTACTTAAATGAACAACAAATCTTTTTATGAAGCTGTTTGGCCAAAAGCTTTGTTAAAATATTTTGATTTAGTTTTTGTCTATACTCTAATGAATGCTGTAATGTATTAGTAAATTAAATAACAATTACAGTGGTTTTGAAATAATGGATTTCTAAGTGTTTATTTAATGTTGTCATTTAAATTCCATCAATTTAATCAAGTTTTCTAATTGAACAACTCTACCTTATAGTCAGCTATTATGTATCAAGATGTATGCTGAAGTAGAAGTTATCATTACCAAGGTTCGACTTGATGATTTCGAATAAATTCATAATTGGGTAGACTGTTATAAATAAATTGTAATAAGTAGAAAAATTAAGTTTCCTGACGTTTTGTGACTCATTGTAAGTCACTTCTTCAGTGAATAAATAAATTACGAAATTAGGTGGTTTCTTTGTGTACCTAAGATGTTCTTTCACTCCAGTGAAGATTTCGCGAAAGGTCAGGAAATTTAATTTTTCTATTCATTTGGATATTACAGATATATTAATTTATTTTATTTATGTTGAAGTAGGTTTTTAGAATCATAAACTTGTCTATTTAAGTAAAAATGTAAATACAAAGTTTTTATTTCACTTAAACAACACTGATACAATAAGAACAATAAAAATGAAATATTTGTTCAATTGAAGCATAGTTTCTTTATAGAAAACATTAATAAACTATTTAAACGTAGTTTGTTGTTTTAGTTATTTTTGTTGACGACATATTAAACATGTTAATTGTACTTTAAGTATTCTGAGTTTAAATCAGAATATAATGTTTGGTAGAAAATTATATATAAAAAAACAAAAAAAGAGAAAGAATCTGTTCATTAAATTATGTTAAATGAAAGTATATAGCACACTTAAAGTTCATTACTAATTGAAGTTCACACATCTTTATGTTCATACTGACAACGATTGTTTATAGTAATACAATCATCTAGTTCTATGAGTTCAATATCACCAATATAAGTTAAATATAGTGCCAAGTTATTTTTAAAAAAAACTAATGGTAAATATATTTTAAATGTTTTATCAGTCCATTTAAGTATTTCAGTTCAATTAAAATCTGAAAATTCCGAACAGTTTCTTTTTCTTAAAAAACAAAATAAATACGTGAAATCAGTCATTAAAAAATTAATATAACAGAATTTTAACGGTTATTTCTTTAGAGTTTGGATAGTGAAAATAAGTGTGTTTGTTAAGCTACTATTTAATGATGGAGAAAAATCGATTAGCCATGTTACAAGTCAAATGAACTATACTATAAAAAGAAAACTAGAATAGAGTATACTCATTTAATATATAGTAATAAAAGTGTTGAATATTAAAACTTTCAATGTAGCTCAATTAATTTGATGAAGCTTCTTATCTTTGTTTTAGTTTAATTTTCATCAAATATGATAATTTCAAATTAGGAAGTAGACCAATGTTTTGAATTATTTATTAGGATTTCTAATGATCACCTATACAAGTTGAAGTCATTCGATAGTAGGGCGAAGACTACAGTATTGGAAGTTTCAATCATTGATTTAGACATGTATGGGTCTATCGGGAGGTTGATTATGAATACAGTGGTCTTGAGTGCTGTTAGAGGTATGAGGGCGGTTATCACTTCCTGGTTGCTCACACCGTGGAAGGGTTCTTCTGGAGGTACCTGAAAAGGGAACTGGATTAAAGATGGCCTAAGTGACCTGAGAGCGTGACCGCAGTGCCCAAGAGACAACTGCTTGAGGTCAGTCACACACGACCTTTTTATGAGTAATTTTCATGTTAGCTCAGTATTTGTTGAGACCTTACCGCCTGAGACGGATATCCGTGGGATAAGGCGAGGTGTGCATTTTTAGGGTCGACCTTTTCTAACCACACCCCTCCTTGTGGGATAGCAGCATCGCTGTCATGCTGGTTGTCTGAAGGAAGCACCTTACTGCTGCCACACCTCTGTACAGTCAGCAGTACGACTTCGCCTTCGGACCTTGGGTTTGTTGCTTTTAGTCTTACCGCTCTTCAACCGACCTGTCTGACATGGTAGGACCTTGAGGAACAGTTGTTCCAGCCAGTATAGCTCGGTTGCTTCATCACGATAGGCAAGCCCGACCACCACGTCAAGGTAGCAACAACGGTCTGGTCTATACTTGTATATACTTTGATTTAAGACAGAACAAGAAGTACCTAATGCTCTGAAATTGTAAAATATATTAACACAGACTTCTATCATTCTACGTCATGACTGGAAATCCGTTTTTTTCAATTTCTCTTAATTATTTATTTTTACATGAGTGAATTCCGTGATTTTCCCAATTAATCAATTCTATCAACTAATATTCTGTTAATCAGTTTAAGCTATACATCAAAGATCTAGATGAATAAATCAAATTTCGGATAGTCTATTTCTATTATTTCAGAAATGTTTATTTATAGTTTGGTTAATTATTATTCCGTTAACAAGATTATGTTATACTTTACCTAGAAGATAACTATTATATATTGTTCAAAACAAAATGTTGCAATTCAAATATGTCACGTTTACTACTCACCTTGTTACACAATCACGTAGATACTTAAAGACTGTTTTCATCATATATTACATGTCAGGTGTTATGTCTCTGAAAATCGGTTAACATTAATTATTTTAGAATATTGAAATTTCATTACTGGACATATTATTACCCGTTTTGTGACAGAATGGAGGATAGTATTGAAGAACAGTTGAGGTTTGTTCACAAAGTTCTTTTTTAAGTAACTTAAAGTAGTATAGTTCTGATTCTATCAATGTGTAATTTAATAAATCAATCCTTATTCAAATATTTGTCATGTTTCCTGGATATATGATTTAACTGAGGCTTTCATTATCGTTTGAAGAAACTAGAATGTTTTGTGGTTAATTATTTATAGATAGAATTTTGTTTTCAATGTATAATTAGACATATCGACTTTGCTAGCTGCTACGTCAAGTCTTAGTTACAGCTTGTTAGGTCCTTGATCTACCTGCTCTCTAGTCTGCGTTTATTATATAGATAAAGAATCGCATTGGTCTAATTTACGGTCTTGACGAGATGGTTACTTAGTACAGCCCTAAGACTTGTAACATACGAGTTCCTTGTGCCTGGACGGCCTTGAGAGTATATATATATATATATATTCACGTGTTCAACTATCAGGTCACTGAAAAGTTCATTTTCAGCTACTTTTTGCATAATAATAATTCACATTTTTTATATCTAATTAACATTATTAGATAAACATATGCATAAATCGTTGTCTTCACAGAAGTTCTGAAAGTTGTAGGATTCTTTTTTGCCTAAACGTAAACATTAGTGTTATACCGGAGTAGCGAATAGTAATGACAAAACCATCCATTTTCGCTTCAGCTCACCAGATATTCCCTTCAATAAATGTTTGGGGACACTGTTATAAACGACATCACTATTTCGTGGACTTCCTGTGTATCTAACTGATGAACAATTTATACAGTTACAAGCAGCCATGAAACTATATAATAAGTTCAAGTGTATATGTATGGTGGATTGTGGAATTATCCGGAATTCCTTATTTAAGCTAGTTTATTATATAAATGTTTGGAAAATCTTAGTTTTTGTAGGGATTTAAGAAGTGATTGATGATGTTCTGAAAAAAAGATAACTACCTTAAATTTGGTAAGAAAACACTTTTCTGGTAGTTTATAAGATATAAGTTGGCTCTTTTTGAAGAACTAAGTTACAATGACTATTCACCAAATAATAATGTTATACTATATATTCAAATAGGTCATAAAGAAAGGGAATAAAACACATTTATTTCAATATTGTGCCCAATTCCAAATACTTTCAAAGATATAATCTCTTTCATTGAATTTTCGTTAGTAAATTAAGAATCTTTTCTGTGAATTGTGTGAAAACTTATCAATACTCAATCCTTTTTATGTTTGATATAAACTGTACATAATTAGTTTACTATCAAGTTACAAGTTTATCGAATATTATTTCTTGATTTAATTTGAAGAATGAGAACATACTTCATGTAATAGTTTATGAGAGATGCTTTAAAAAATACATGGTTAAACGTATACTATGTACTTGTGAGGACGGCCCACGAGTGAATTCAAGGAAGCTCTAAGAAGCTCGGAAACGGCCGAAGATATTCAATCCATTCATCTTTTGGAAGAATATTACAGAATCTTTACATGTAGCTTCTCTACTGAACAAATACTAAAACCCCCTGTATGCGTATTGGATGACTATAATCATGATTTTGTTTTTACTAAAAAAAGTATGTAAACCTGAGAGTTTTGTATCATATTTGACACTATTTGAAATAGCATTCCTTTCATTTGTCCTCTGTCTTCTCGTTTGCGACTTGGAGGGTTCTAGAGTTCGAGTGCTCTATTTGTACGCGGTATATTAAGAATCTAACCGCTAGATATAACAGTACTGTGATAGTATATATATATATATATATATATATATATATATATATATATATATATATATTTACAATCATCATAATAAAAAATTATTAGGCTTTGTTGGTTAGAAAAAAGACCAGTCTGTTACAGAAAACAATAATAACATATAAATATAGACCAATCGTTCCACCTCAGTGGGTTTAACTTCTGGTGGGTTAGTAGTAGCACACTTTATAAGGGTGCTGTAATAAAATGAAACGAATGACCATTATTTATTTTTATATCTCTGTTAGCCACTACCTAAAATATAACGAATAAAGCTTAAATGATTTATAGTATTTTTAATTTTTAGAAATCAAAGTCTTAATACACGGGTAGTTTGAGGAAAGGTTTAGCTAGAATAATCA